GAGGAATCACATGCAACTGTCCTAAATGCTTCTCAGGACTTGTGTGCTCACTGAAAACAAACAGGCAAGTGTACAGCCACTCTGTTCCAGCCTTGTGCTCTCCCGACACGAGCGAAGCGAGGGTCGGCGAAACAGACGCGAAGCTGCAACACACTTGCTCACAGCAACACGCACCTCTTCAAGGATGCCCAAAGACATCTCAGGTGTACTGGTGCTCATCATGGCCAACTCAAAACATCTCAAACATGCCAAAGTCATGTCAAGATCATGCCAAGTCCATGCCAAAGGTTTGTTCAGTTAAAAACAACTCAAGGTTCAAACAAAAACAGTTCGCAACTCAACTTCACGAAGAAAAACAATCTAAGAGGATCGAGACCAAGTGGAACGTCGGAAAGTGAGGCTCTTCCTCACTTTTTCCTGCTTTGCAGGGAAAGGATTCCAGCTATTCCCCATGCCCGGTCAGCCAAGCTGGAGGTACAAGCTGGAAAGCCCAAAGCCTAAGTAAAAGTCTCCGAGCTTTGTGCTGCAAGCTAGAGCCGAAGCTACTATCTGGCTAGACCATGGCTCCTTGCCTGGCTAGATCTACAGCCTGGTCGGACCATGGCTTTTCATGAAACCCCAGCTTTGGAAGACGGGAACCATCAGTGACCAGTGCCATGGAGAGTAGTTCTTGTCGAAAGAAACAAAAGACCTAGGCAGCATCCGGAGACCTTCACAAAGTAAAGGAATTCGCCACGGATGTTCAGCCAGCTTTTTCTCCATTGCGCGGCTGGAGCAAACCCATGCGACTTGCCTGTGGAGATCGGAAGATCCCGAAAAGGCCTTCCTGACATGCCTCCATAGACTTGTGCACCACTTCAGCGGTGTTTTACCCTCAATATCAAAGCTGGAGTCATCGATGGAGAGTGTAGAGGTCACAGTGACCCAGGCTTGGGTTCGCACCCAAATTTTCCATAACCAGATGCATGACCAACTTTGACAGCCCAGACATAGGGGCATCCAGCAATGATAGCTCTGGTGGGAGCAACCGGCGGAGATAAAGTCTCCTTGGTACAATAACCAAGGGTCTGTATGCAGCCAGATGTGGCAGCCCACTTCGTTTGTTCACTTGGCTGGCGAGCCTTCCTTTTGCCTTCTCAAGCAGAAAACCATTGCTTAGAACCAAAAGATTGGTCCGGACCCTCAGAGTGGCGAAAGTCATTAGCACCTGGAAAGGGGAGGGGATCATGCCAGGTCCTGTCCTCACCACTGGAGTTTCCATACTTCCTCAGAAGCCTGAGCGAGAACGGTCTCTTGGCTTGACATCCTTTGGGTACCGCCTTTGGGCCAGAGCCAGATGGCCATTACTCACTCAAGATGCCTTCCGCAGTGGCTGTTTCCAGCCACTGCTGGTACTAGCTTGATTGACGCGCCTAGTGTTATTTCGCAGCCTGATTTTCTGCAAGTTATCAACCATAGACTGTGCCGGCAATGCCTTAGCTTTGACCAAGCGGGCCTGAGAGAATGTCCTTGCCTTCAATCTCTATGTCGTGGTCTTTCCACTCCAGGTGACGGAGTACTAGGGATGACCCGATCATCCAACCTGTTGTCTGCCGCCTGGGAAACCCAAAGCACGAGGCGACCCTAGTAGCTGTGTTCGTCCCATCCACGGGTACGATGGAGAGGTTGGATTAGCCAAGGGCTTGAACTCCGGCCTTGCTTCCAGAACGAGTAGATCAGGGCCCAAGCTTTGCAAGTGCAGCAGTTGACGGACCTGGTCAAGAACCTGGCGCTTGCTAGTGCACAGAACGCTGCCTAGGTTGCGTTTGGAAGTAGCCTAGCGACTGCCGAGCAAGCCCCTGCAACTCTTCGGGTGACCCGTCGGGTCCTACTCCGGTGGACGTTGACACCGGGATTCGTTCTACAAGAGCTGAGAACTACATCCCCTCGTTGCCTCAGTTGAATTGAACTTTGCATCGATGACTACCAGGCACGCTGAGATACGGGTGT